TTCTTCAAAGTTTCCTGATATTATCCGTTTTTTATTTCAGTCGGTTCGGTTATGATGTTGCCTATTCCATTTCTTATTTGTGTTATTTTTATTCTCTCCCTCTTTTCCTTTGTTACCTTTGCCAGTGGTTTGTCAATTTTATTAATCTTTTCAAAAAACCAACTTGTACTCTTGTAGATTTTTCCTATTGTCTTTCTACTTTCTCTTTCATTGATTGTTGCTTGAATCTTTGTTATTTCCTTTCTTCTGGTGACTGCAGGCTTTTCTTGCTGTTGCTTTTCTAATTGTTGGAGATGTTGGTTTAAAGTGTTGATTTTGGCTCTTTCCTCTTTTTTAATGTCTGTGTTCCTTGCTATAAATTGGCCTCTGATCATTGCTTTGGCTGTCTCCCAAAGATATTGGTATGTTGTGTTTTCATTCCCATTTTATTCAAGGTTATTTTTGATTTCTTTTTATTATTATTATTATTTCTTCTCTTACCCAGTCATTTTTAAGGAAGATATTGTTCAGTTTCCATGTGTTTTCTCTTTTTCCATTGATCCTCCTATGCTTGATTTCTAATTTGATAGCATTGTGATCTTAAAAGATGTTTTGTGATATTTCAACATTTTTAAATTTATTAAGATTTGCTTTATGGCCTAACATATGGACTATCATGGAGAATGTTCCATGTGCACTGGAAAAGAATGTCTATTGTACTGTTGTTAGGTGAAGTGCTCTGTAGATGTCTATAAGGGCAAGTTGGTAGAGATTATTGTTTAGCTTTTCTACATCTTTGTTGAGTTTCTTTCTAGTTGTTCTATCTTTCATTGAAGTGATGCATTAATTTCTCCCACTATGACTGCAGACTTATCTATTTGCCTTTTCAACTTTTTTAAAGACTGATTTATATAGATTAGGGCATTTTCATTGGATCCATGGACATTTATTATGATTATATCTTCTTTTTCAACTGATCCTTACAATCATTATATAATGTCCTTCCTTGTCTCATATTGTGATTTTTGTCTTAAAGTCAATTAGATCAGAAATTAATATCGTGACTTCCACTCTCTTTTGCTTACCATTTTCTTGGTATATCTTTTTCCAACCTTCAATTTTTAGTCTATTTTTGTCTTTGTCTAAGGTGTGTCTCTTGTAGACAGCATAATGATGGATTGTGTTTTCTTATCTAGTCTGCAACTCTCTAAATCTTGAGTGGTGCACTTAATCCTTTAACATTCATTATCATTATTGACAAGTATAAATTGGTTGCTGTCATTTTGTGATATGCTTTTTCATAGTGTTCCTGGTTTCTTTGCTCGATATAATTTTCTGTGCTAAGTTCCTTGAGTTTGTGAATCATGTTATCATATCCTTAGTTTCTATTGTTTGAATATTTGCTAAATATTTGTGCTTGTCCTGTTTTTATTGAGATGTGAAAGTTTATCATTTTTTTCATTTTACTCTGTGATTTATAATTTTCTTTCCAAGTTTAGAACAGTCAATTCTATCTCACAACTCTCTTGACTTCCTCACCATTTAGAAGTTCTGTAACTATACTATTTTCCCCATCTTTTTGGTTTGGAGTTGTCTTCATTTGCCAATTGATGTCTCTAGGCTCCTGTTTACAATTTTGTAAGCTTATTTTGCTTTGGGTGCATCCATAACTGTGTTACATTCTGGGTTATGTCATCTTGTGTATTAGTGGTCAGTTGTTGTTTGCTATTATTGGTTCTCTGTTTATAGGACTCCCTTTAGTGTCTCTTGTAATGTTAGTCTGGTTTTAAAAATTCCCTTAATTTCTGCTTATCTGGAAATCTCCTAATTTCCTCATAATATTTGAGGGACAATTTTGCTGGGTATGTAATTCTTGGTTGGCAATTTTTCCCTCTCAGGGTTTTATATATACCATCCCATTGTCTTCTCACTTCCATGGTTTTATGCTGAGAAATCAGAGCTTATTCATATTAGTTGTCCTTTGTAAGTAGCATTTTGTTTTTCCCATTTTGCTTTCAGCATTTTTTTTTCCTTTGGTTTTGATGAGTTATATTATGATATGTCTTGGTGATTTTCTTTTGTGGTCTATACTGTTTGGGGTTCTTTGGACTTCCTGAATAGACATATGCTCATCTTTTCTCATATCATGGAAGTTCTCTTGCAAAAAACCTTGGGAAATTTTCTCAGTGGTTTTCTTTTTCTCTTCTTGTTCTGGAATTCTGATTACTCATAGGTTATTCCTTTTGATGGCATCTCACATGAATTCTAGGCTTTCTTCATTTTGTTTTGATCTTTTTTTCCTGATTGATGCCTTTCCAAAGAAATATTCATGTATTTGTCTTCAATCTCATTAATTTTATCTTGCAATGACTCAATTCTACTGCTTTTCCCTTTCAATGTGCTATCTATTTCTGAAAATTTAGGATTAATTTTCTGGATTTCTATCTGTGGATTTTGTATTCTTTCTAATTTTTCATTTATTTTGTTATTTTTTTCTTGTATTTTCTTCTGAAATTGTTCTAGGGTTTCATCTAAATTTTATTTATTTTTTCAGTGTTTTCCTTGATCTGTCTCTCAATCCTTTGAAGATACCTAAATATAATTCTTTTGAATTCCTTATCATGGTGTCCCAATGCTGCTTCTTCCTAGGAATGTGTTCTGGGTGTGTATCCTGCTCCCTTGTTTCTACCACTTTATCTTGCTTCTTTGTGTGGGCTGTGATGGTCTGTTGTCTCTGAGATGCTGCTACATTGTTGTATTTAGATCTCTGTTAACTGTTTGTGAAGAGTATTTATTGGTGACTCTGGCTTTTCCTGGTGGTCATTTATCGTTAGCCAGTTGGTGGAGAAGGAAGTGGTGGTTCTCACTAAGTGTAGCTGCAGGAAATTCATGTGTTGTTTTGTCATATGGGAACTGTTGCTGTTTGCCCCTAAGTAAGACAAAAATTGAATAACCACCAAAAAAATAAAAAGGTAAAAAAAAAAAAAAGCACTGTGTAAAGACACAGGAGCAATAACTAAAAAAAGAAAAATAAACACAGTATCTGGGGAGAGGGCAAGGAGAGGAAGAAAGCAGAGTAAGAGAATAGTGAAGAAAGAATTGTGAAAAATGCAAAAAGAAAAACAAGAAATAGGGTTAACCATGAGAAATAAAATAATGGGAGCCAGGAACAAGTAAGAGAGAAAAGGCTGAAAACTGGAACCTGGGAAGAGAAGAATAAAGAATAGTAATAAAAAGGACAAAAATAATACTATTAAACTAATAATTTTAAAACAGACAAAAACAAACTGAAAAAAAAAAATACAGGAAATGAAATCTGAGCAGAGGGGCACCAGGCACCTAGGCTCTGTCCGAGCATACAGACTGGGATGGAATTCCTGCTGGCCCAGAAGGTGGGTGGGAGTGAGGGATGGCCACACTTCCATTTACCAAGAGGTTGTGGGGTATAAGAGTAACAAGGGGAATATTGCATCTTTCCAGTCATTCGTGTCTGGAATGTCCTTGTGGTTCCCAGCAAGTGGAGTCTATTCTTAGTTCCCTGGAATCTAGGAGAATATTGTCACTTTAAATATCCAAAATGGTCAAAGGGCTTGTGAACTTCAAAATGGCCTCACCCTCCATGCAGGCAAAACTCCACAGTTCAGCCAACCTTACTCTTCACTGCTTCGCCTTTTATTCACCAGCCACCAGTGCAATCTTCTGTGCACCCCCAACTTTGAGGGCCAATTTTTAGGTTAATTCTTAGATCCTAACACAACTTGGCAATATCCTATCAGTGTGTGCCATCAGGATCACTGAAAGACTGCAGCTCCATAAGTCTCCTTTTTTTTTGGTGTTTTCATGCAAGTTTTTCTGCTAGTTAGAGTTTAGTCCACTTCTATATCCTTCCCTTCAAAGTTCAGAACTCCAAGATTTTCTTCCATATCTGTGTTAACTGGTTCACCTTTTCTTCGTTGAAGAGGGTGTGTTCAGTCTGTCTGCCTATTCCACCATCTTCCAAAAGTAAATGTGTAGCTGTATATTTTATTTGTAGGATATGCTGGTAAAAGTGAATGAGTAGCTGTATATTTTATTTGTAGGATATGCTGGACCTCAGGCTCATTTGGTGGTTATAAGATCATTTGGGTAAGTCATATTTAAAGGTGTATTTTTGTCATTTATTTTAAAAGAATATAATTGAAGACCAAAGTAATGTGAAAGTATGCATGTAATAAAAATTCATTATGTTCATTTATGAAATTATTCATTTTTAATGGAAATATTCAATTAAGTTCAGCATTTTAATTTTAAAACATAGCATGCCCAAAATTAAAAAGTTGAGAGCATTCTAAACATAATGACACATAAACACTCTAACCAGAAACACAAGTCAAAATGATATAAGGTATATGGTGAAGCATACAGCTGTAAGTCTGGTGTGGCTGAAAGTCTGGTGTGTTTGAACTGTAGACTGCATGTGAGTGTAGTACAGAAGATTTTAAATTTTTCATTTTGTTTCCCCAGTAAACATGTTTTTATGAGTTTACATTTTAGTACCTTTTGAAATTTTAATTTGTCTTGATATTGAAAAATGTTATGGGAGAAAATATTTACTCCATATCTGAGATACATGTAAAAGTAATAGTCAGGAGGAATAAAGTACATAAATCTGAATCTCCTTTAGAAATATCAAAATTATAAAGAACTGAGATTTCATAAGTAATATTTTAACACCATGGGAAAATTATGTGTAGCATACTGACAAATTATTTTTAAAAAATGGGGTTTAATTTGTACTACTATGTACATACAATAATCAATTTAGTTTGAATCAAAAATGGTTTTTAGTAACTACAGTGGTGGATGGTAGGATGCTATGACAAAATTCTTGTTAGTAAGTAAAAAATTAAAATAAAAGTAAGCCCCCAATTCTGAGATTTTCCAGCCATTTGACCAAGTTTTCTTAAGGATATATCCAAGCTTTTCTTAAAGTAAATCTCATTTATTTATCATTCTTACATTTTTCAGGTCACAGTAGAGCTATGGGGAATACAAATGACACTAGAGATGTAAACTTCATTCTTCTAGGGCTCTTTAACCACACCCAGATCCACCTTTTCCTCTTTGCCGTGGTGCTCATGATCTCCATTATCTCACTGATGGGTAATGCCCTTATGATCATTCTCATCCACATGGGTCCCCGACTCCATACACCCATGTATTTCCTGCTTAGCCAGCTTTCCCTCATGGACATGATGCTGGTCTCCACAGTCATTCCCAAAATGGCATCCAATTACCTGACAGACACTAGGTCTATCTCTCCCACAAGCTGTGGAGCCCAGATCTTCCTATTTCTCACTATAGGAGGGGGTGAGTGCTTCCTCTTAGCAGCTATGTCCTATGACCGCTATGTGGCCATATGTCACCCATTGCGCTATCCCATTCTCATGAGTCAAAAAATCTGCTTGCTTATGACAGCAAGTTCCTGGTTCCTGGGAGGAGTTGATGGGCTAATGCAGGCTGGTGCCACTTTGAGCTTCCCTTATTGTCACTCAAGGGAAGTCAATCACTTCTTTTGTGAAGCACCATCACTGGTGCAGCTTGCATGTGCTGACACCACAATTTTTGAGTTTTTCATGTATATCTGCTGCATTTTGATGCTCTTGATCCCTTTGGCTCTCATTTTGGCCTCCTACAGCTTAATCCTGGCTGCAGTTCTCCATATGCAGTCATTTGTAGCCCGAAAGAAAGCCTTTACCACTTGCTCTTCTCACCTAGCAGTTGTGGGACTTTTGTTTGGTACAGCCATGTTCATCTACATGAGGCCCAAGTCTTACCATTCAGTGAACCATGATAAGGTGGTCTCAGGTTTTTACACCATCGTCACACCTATGCTGAATCCTCTTATATACACAGTGAGGAATAGCGAAGTCAAAGGAATCTTGAAGCGGCAGATGGAAAAACTTTGTATGTGATATCAACACTGAGTATAATTTGTCAAAAAGGTAGCACCAAAACTAATACAGGACACATTTCTAAAATATTGTTCTGTTGTTTTGTTCATCCCACTTAATTTCTTCATTTGTGTTTAATTGAATTAATTGGCCTGGCTTTGTCAATTTTCTATACAATTTTTCATTGTTACTGTATGATTAATTTAATAATTAGCAAACTAATTAAAATTATATTTGAGCTCTGTTATAATTTGCAGTGATATTTTTGTTATGAAATTAAGGTCTCAGAAATAAGCATGAATCATTGATTTACTGTCAAGCATATGATATATAGTTTACTATAAAACAACTACATACTTTGCATTTTTGATATATGATGGAAATAATTTTGATGAGGAGTCATTGTTCAATAAAAACATAAGATTTTGAAAAACCACAGTAGATACTAAATTTGTATAACACAATGAAATAATCAGTGTTAAAAGTAAACAGTAGTATTTAAGAACATATTGGGAAATATTTGTCAAAATTTTACTTCAGGACGTTTTACTCAGACTGTGAGTCAGATCCGACTCGATGGCAGTGGGATTTGGGTATGTGTGTTTTAAGAATCCATAGACCTAGCTCAAGAGATGTCCAGACAGAATATTAAAAATGTTAGTTGACTTTTCATGATTTATGGTAAAATATAAGATTAGAGAGATGAGTAAAAAATAATACATGACACAAAAAATGGGTCAGTACACTCTTACTCACACTCACTCACTGCTGTGGAGTGTATTCTGACTCATAGTGACCCTCCTTGGTTTTCCAAGGCAGTAACTCTACAGAAGTAAATTGCCCAATCTTCCTTTCAAGGATTGCTTGGTGAGTTTGAACCACCAGCTTTTTGGTTAGCAGTCAACAGTAATTTATCATTTAAAATTATTTCCCTCAGTAAAGAATGTCATTAAGAAAGAATGCCAGGCTAAAAATCCAGTACAAGTTGTAACTCCAAAATCTTTGTTAAGACTTCAGCACAATTTAATACATTACCTTATGTAAACACTGAAACAGACAAAACACCTTCTATGAATCTTAAGGAAATTGCACTCTCTTCAGTTGGAAAAAAAAAAAAAAAGAAAGAAAGAGATTATATAAAATAAATAAATAAGTCACTGTAGTGCAGTAGCATCATAGGGAGCCCAAGTATGGAAAGGGCTTACACATGTTGGTAACTGTAGTTTTTGTCTAATGGCATAAATCCCATTAAAATTCATCAAAAACTCACAATGTTTGCAAGGAAGTTTTTCTGGCAGAAGTACCACTAGTTGATCTAAAGAGTAAGCTAATTTAGATGACTATTCAGATTTCTTATGGTAGAACATGGGTGCCTTAGAAGGCAGAGACCAGAATCATGGAGAACAAGTTCAATAGAGTCATGCAGAGTCTTGATTAATGAACTGACAATAATGTTGACCAGGATTCCAGAATTCTAGAGACTGGGAATTGTTTGCCTAATCATTCACTGTTTTAAACAGAAATGTCTGAAGACTATATAATCCCCATATTATAAATAAGCCAAAAAGCCAATGAACCAATTTTTCAGTTATATGAGTGGCTCAGCATGAAAGTGAATCTCCCCACTCCCAGATCAACCACTGATGATTCATAGACCAGAGATGAGATACCTCTAAAGAAATCTGGTAAAATTGTAGATTAATTTTCAAAATAAATAATTGCTTTAAACTGTTATTTTTTGGAGGTATACACACACACACACACACAGAGACACCTATGGTTTGTATGTTTGAATTGTTAACTTTTGATTAGCACCGAGTACTTTAACCAATGTGCCACTAGGCCTCTCTCCATATATTTACTAGATATATACTGTTCTTTTTTGTCTTTTATTTCTTTCCTGTCTTTTAATGACATTTTGTTTTCTTCATGTCCTTGATGTCATTCCACCACTTACAAGGTCTTCACTCATTAGCATTCATATGGCAAATCTTTTCTTGAGATGCTCCTTAAATTCAGGTGAGATATACTCAAGGTTTTATTTTGCCTCTCCTGGACTCATTTTAATTTTATTTAGCTTCAACATGAACTTGCACAGGAGTAATTGATGGTCTGTTTCATAGGCGGACCCTGGCCTCATTCTGACTCATGATATTGAGCTTCCCCATCACCTCTATCTACATATGTAGTCATTTTGATTGCTGTGTATTTCATCTATTGAGGTCCACATATATAGTCATAGATCATGTTTTTGAAAGATATTTTCAATGAATAAGTCATTGGTCCTGAAAAATTTATCATACTTTCTCCAACATAATTTCTCTTATTAAGATGATATTTTCCAACTACCGAACCATCTTATTTGTTTCCATCTTTCACATTTTATTTACCAATAATTATCAATGCATTTGGCCTGCTTGTTTGATCAATTTCAGGCTGTAGAAGTTGCTAAAATATTTTCAGTTTCTTCATTTATGGCATTAGTGATTGAGGCATAAATTTGAATATTAATTTTATTAACTGGTATTCCTTGTAGGTGAGGAAGTATTAATCAAATCAAAACAAGCCATAAAAAGGCCACCTTGTCTATTAACATTTATAGACCTTTTAAACAATAAGCAATACAGTAAAAATACAGAACATAGTGTTCAAACTGGGTCAGTGATGGCAGACAGTGGAACGTGGATATACATATCAAAACTGAGTAACAGTAAACAACTAATTGAGTTAAAGATCTATCTAATATTATTCATAAGCCCAAAACAAAACTAAAGGTTGCCAAGCCACCACCGTTTGACAGAACTAAGATCTATGAGACTAGAGATCATAATTTAGAACCTATGTTGTTGTTGTTGTTGTTATGTGTGTTTGAGTTGGACCCGACTCATAGATACCCCTCCTTGGGTTTCTGAGGCAGTGTCACTATGGAATTAGATTGTACCATCTTCCTTCCGAGAAGTGGCTGGTGGGTTTGAACTGCCAGCCTTCTGGTTAGCAGTCAAGTGCCTTAGGCACTACGCTACCAGAACTCCCTTTAAAACCTATAGTAACACTTAAAGTTTTTTTCAGAATTTACCCATTTTGCTTCTTCCATCCATGGACTGGCATCATCATGACATATTAACATATTTATTACATTATAGATAACACCAGAACTTGGCTTCTATGTTTTAGCTAATATCCTAAATACAGGAATGGATGTGTGAGAATTTTTGCTTGGTGTGGTAGTTATGTTTGTGTGTCAACTTGGCTGGGCCTGGTTGAGTGGCTGGACAGCTGGTGGTAGTTATTCCCCATGATGAGACTGGCAATCAACTCCATGGTAGGATCTACCACAAGCATCTGAGTAGCTGCCTCTGGGATGTGATCTGCTTCCTGTATATAAGGAGAAGTCTTGGGAATGGTCTCTAGCTTATGGCATGCTTGGACCCAGCATGTAGCCGTATTGTTGTTCAGCAGTCTGCCATACTCTGCCGACCTTGGGACTTACAATGGACTTAAATTAATGGCCTGCCATGTGGTTTGGTAGCATTGGGACTCTGCCTTTTTATTTGTCAACCTTGGGCTTGGTAGCCTCAGCATCCAGCAGCCGTCTGAGTGAAGAAAAGTCTCTAGCTTCAGTGGGCCGGGTGTTGGAGGCAGAGCTGAAACCCAAGGCTGAGGGGCTTTCACCCAACCCCTAGAGCTTGGCACTTTGAACTTGGACTTAAAGCCTCCAGAGTATAAGAGAATAAACTCCTGTTTGTTAAGGCCATCCCCTTTGTGGTATATTTCTTGTCAGAGTGGCATTAGGTAACCAGAACACTTGGATCAGGGAACTCTTCTGCAATAGCTGTAAGTTCAACATTAGACCATGGGTGATATGAAATTTGAGGGCTCCCACCTCCTTTAGCCTTTTGGGTAACTACAAAGGGCCTGTTGTTGTTGTTGTTAGGTGTTTTGGTTCAGTGAATTACTTGGTATGGCTTTTCTAGCCATAGTCTTTGTAACTCCTACTGGATTACTGTGTAACTCCTACTGGATTACTGTGTAACTCACTGCCGTTGAGTTGATCCTCATAGTGACCACTCCTTGGGTTTCCGAGGTGGTATCTCTACAGAAGTAGATTGCCCAGTCTTCTTTCTGAGGAGTGGCTGGTGGGTTTGAACTGCTGGGTAGGACCATGCAAATAATATGTATAGAACTCTGATGCTGGGATTGGTTAGTCACTCTGCCAGGCTTAAAATGAGCCCTCCAAGAGGCAGAAACGGGATCTCACTGACATCAATAGAGAAAAGCTGGAGGTGAAGTAGAGGTGGCCATGGACTTGAGAGTCCTGCACTGGACCTCCTTGGCAGAGACAATATAGCGGAGACAGATGATGCAGCAGAGAGACACCCTGGCAGAGAGACAGTGGCAGTAGAACCAAGAGACATGACAAGAAGTGACAATGTTACCTGACCCACAGAGGCAGAGGCCAGGCTGAGAGGCCAAGGGCCAGAAAGTCATGTCTGAGGGCACAGCAGAATGGAGACTTCCCTGATCAAAAAATTTTATCCTGAGCACATTCCTGAACTTGAATTGTAACCTGTTATATCCCTAATAAACCCCATAATTGTGAGTATTGTCTGTGAGTTCTGTGTGGCCATTGCCATGAGTTATTGAACCCAGAGGAGAGGTAGTGAGTACCCTGAAAGGGACAGTTGGTGCCAAAGTTGGTAAAAAGTCTGGAGGGTGGCAGATTGTGTGGCCTCATAAGAATAAGCGTTGGACTGCAGATGGTGATTCTTTGTACATTCCATGTTCTACCACTTGTCTGTGAGTTTGTTGTACTGTGATGTTCTGTGGGTTGCTGTGCTATGCCACCAATATTTTAAATACCAGTAGGGATACCAATGGCAAACACGTTTCAGAAGAGCTTCCAGATTAAGTCAGAGTATGAAGAAGGATTTGGTCAGATCCACTTCTAATGAATTTGCCATTGAAATCTTATGAATAGCGGTAAAACACTGCCTGATCGAGTGCCATAAGAAGAGCCCTTT